CTTGTTCATAATTGGTTTCCTCTGACAAAACTTCATGAGCCCGCTGTCCCTTTGATCCGTGTTTTTGGCTAAAATATTCTTTGGGGCGTGGTTTCCCTCCTTTACAAACTCGTGCTAGATGCCCAATTTTCTTACAAATATTACAAGTAGTCTGAAGATGGGGACAATCCCTTCTAAAATGTCTTAGTCCACAACCAAGACAAACATTAGGTGTAACAGAGTGAGCTGGATTGTTGTTAAATGCTACAAATTTCCTGTTTGAATGGTCAATTTTATGTGCATTAGCAAAACTTGAGCTACTGAAAGAAAGTTCCTTACTTTGAGTTTGAAATAATTCATTTGACTTAGCTGCAATAACAACATCCTGAAGTTTAATAGTAGGTTCTTTCAAAATTTTATTCCTTAACTCATCACTTCTAGATCCAATCAAAATTTGCATAATTAATTCCCTATCCAAGTCTTTGAATTCACAGTTCACAGCTAATGTTCTTAGTCGAGAATAGAAAGAGTTAAAGACTCTGATTCTGCTTGATGACACTTCCTAAAATTAAATATTTCAAAAAGGACATTTTTGGTAGGAGCGAAATAGTCAGTTAATAGTTTTATAACATTTTTGTACGTTATTTCATTAGGTTGTGGTAAACTGTCAAAAATGTAAGCCACTTCCTCACCAGCTAGATTAAGTACTAGTGCAGTTTTCCTTACATCACTGGTAATGTCTGCAGCTAAAGCATACCTCTCAAATTGCTTAATCCATGTACCCCAACGCTGTGCGACACTTGCAGGATTTGTATGGGGGTCAAAACGATCAGGCTTATTGAGATCCATTATCCAATTATCCTCGTCGCCAGTTTAGTAAATTAAAACATAATTAACACAACTGAATTTATTGAACTCACAAATCAGACTAAACTAAAAAGTAAACAAAACATAATAATATAAACAGTCATCTGACAGATGTTATAAATAAAACATATGGACTTATTTCTTGATACATAACACTTACTCAACTAAGTACTTATAGGTAGGCCTAACTATATCGATAAGTTACTATTTCTGACAAAATTAAACTATATTTACAGCATTAATTAAGTATAGGCCTAAAGCCTTTGTATTAAGTCTATATTAATTAGGCCCAACTTATGTATAACGGTATAACTATCGTTGTTCATACTTGTGTAAACGTAAACTATCTTGCTTTGATGTAAATGTTAGCTGTTGAAATAGATAAAATAGCCTAAATAAAATAAAGCCTGCCTAACATGTAACTTATTTAATTATTGTATAAGTTACTGTAGTTAACTCAGGCCTACTGATAATCTCCATTGACTTGTTGGATCAAAATCTTTTATAATATTTTTAAGACCTAACAGTGAAATATCAGTTTTTGTTATCGGTACCTTTCATCCATTAAGTTCTTTAGTTCGCGCCTTTAGTTCTTAGGGATTCTTATTTCAAACAACAGTGGAGTTTGAGACAGAAATCTACAAGAAATAAGTTAGAAAGGCGCATACTGGATTAAAAAATAGCTTTCAAAATCAACATTGAATTTCTTGTCACTGGCTTCATAAATAAAAACTTATTTTAACATTGAAACCAAGATTTGCCCGATGCAAACTATGACGGTGCTGATTCATAATTAAGTAATGGCTAAGTTAGGTTAATAAAATGTAAAGCCTAACTCCCAAACAAAAATTTGCCTAAGTTGACTTTACAACGGCTGTACTTTAGTTTACAACAACAACAAACGGTCTTTGAATTAAGTCAGCAGAACCAGAAGGCACTCCAATCCATTTTCGACTTCCACTACTCCAACAACTCCAGTCTCCAGTCCCTGTTGTCACAGCAAAGCCGTGACCGATAGTCAATCAAATATCGATACGAACTCCAGAACTAACCACATCGAAAGACTACAGTAGCTATCGATCGTATGAACGATGACGTCATACCTGCTCTGCTTTGTATGATATTTCGCTCACCTTTTATTTAATCTGACAGTAATCATAGAGTAGTAAATTAAGGAAATGAGAACAAAAAATGTGGATAACACTAATTTAATGGCCTCCATGTAGACACAACGTTGTATAGGGAATGAAACGGCTGCAACCAGCTGTATGAAGCCAAGAAAGTAGGCCTAAATTTTTGAAAATCTCAGTTTGAAAGGTTTCACGTAAGGTTGAGGTTATGATAAAAATCACTATCTCAAACAATGTTAATGTAGCGAGAAAAGTAGCTAAAATTCCGCTACAACTACTTTAAAAATGTAGCTAGCTACAGCTAAAGCTACAAAATCTTAAAAGTAGCGTAGCTACAGCTAACGCTACAAAAAAAGTAGCGCGCTACTGTAGCGTTGCTACTTGTAGCACACTGGCCTGAACCATCAATTCAAGGGGCTTGCCTTTACTGGGCACATGCGGCAACTGAAACACCTTGGCTGGGCACATCCTTTATCTTTGGCAGGGAGGGTCTGCCCCCATCGGTTCCAGGAATAACTCACGTAGCCAGTGAACTAAAGATGTAACTAATGAACGTAAGACTAATAAAATAAATAAATGCATTTCTCCTATGTGCAGGTTTTATATCGCATATCACAAAGATAGGTTTTACAAAATCTACAATGCTTAGATCCGATGAACACAAATGTTAACGTGATACTCTGTACGAGATACACTGCTGTCAATATCACGATTGTTTAGTAGTTCAATTTGTTGATTTATGAAACGCACCTTTTCTTTCGTTTTCCTGTCTGTTAGTGGGGCACAACGTGGTTACCTTCCCCGTAGTAGCAAACCAAAGCACTCGTTAAATATAATGTTATTGAAATTGGAAATAAATAATGTCTTATTTATAGAAAAAATGTAACCAGACAAGTTGAAATTCGCTTCGTCTGCAGGTTTGCTGCTGCGGGTGTATTTTATTATTCTTGATGCTTTGTAGAAAGTTTTTCAAACATTGTACTTTTGGATATTTGATGTTTAGTTTTATAGATTGAAATTAAGAATGTGTCTTTGATAAATTTCTTCAGATGTCTAGGTCTGATAATCACAAAATTGAAAGTTCTCACCAGGTTTGGTTATTCACAGTGACTTATCGTGAAATGTTGATGTGGCAGTACAAATTTTAATAAAAACAAAAGAATATATAGACCAATGCTCTTCTATTGCTAATAGATATATTTTTATAACCTTTTACCTTAGATAATATACTTATGGATGAGACCCTCACTGAAATAGTATAACAAGAGTAAACTATTGTACGTCACTTGTCCAAAATGTGTTTACCGGACTCGTATGGTAATCCGGTAATCCCACACTCGACTTGGTCTCGCACGGGAACGACCACAGTCGTCCAGTAAACACTTATTTTCAGGACTAGTAACGTTGTGCTTGAGCTGCTATGTCTGATAGACAAGCGAAGATTTTTTTTACTAGCTGTTTGCCCGTTCTACGTGCGGGAATCTTATAGTAAGTTGAAACCTTATATTCAGAACAGGAGTTGGTTTGCAGATATGCTGGAAAAACTATTACTGTATAGGAATACATATAAACCTTCGCAAATACAATATCTGACAGTTTCAAAGCCTTCAAAGTCTTCAAAGCTTCTTAGCTACATCTGTAAGTTAAACCTATGTTACGATCACAGAGAAATCAGAAAGATCTCCCAAGATCGCAGCAACAACCACGATCACCCACTGCAGTTGTGATTTTTAACTTTGCACTTTACACAACTGTCCTTGAAGCGCCGTCAATGAGTGGAAACCTTTGAAAGCTACGGTATTGGTGACGATGTTTAAAAAAATTTAAGTTTCCTTGCACTAATACAACACTGATTCACGGTATTTCCCCCGGTCATCAAAACTCAAGAACAATCGTTGCACTTGCGATTAATTTAACCGGTTAAGTAAGGCACAACGTTTTTAATCTCATTTGGTTTGGATGTGCTAACAAAACTTCATCGAAAATGGTTGCGGTATTTGTATACAACTTTTAATGTAAACATATCAGTGACAGCTAGAAGTGAGAACTAATCCAAACAGCTGATCGTTATTTTATAAAATGTAATAGTAAACATTGGGAGAAAATTTGACAAAAATCTAACAAAATTGGGTTTTTGGTGGTTCGTTTTTTTGTTTTCAAAGAGGCGAGGCCATGTTTTTATAGCCAAAGACATTCTCACCAATCCAGTAAATACAGAAAAACGATTAGAACCTTGATCGGTACTCTAGTTTTCTAGGAGTAGGCCGCGTAAAATGACATTTTGGCGTCACAGACAGAATCATAGAATGGACAAACAGACAAACAGACAGACAGACAGAAATTGAGATAAGACTCGTTTCGGCTTTCTTAGGCTATGAAACGTAAAAATAACCAAAAACTGCATGATTCTAAGCAATTTACAGACAAAACTGTAATTTTATTTATATAGATTTCACACAAGAGGTTCATTGTTGTTGCCAGCTGTCTTTCAAATGTGTGCTGTGTATCAAATCACTTCACTTATATTTTGGCTTTTGAAAAATTATCCAATGTTGGGATTTTAGGATTAACTTAACCCTTGTTTTGATTAACATGTAACATTGCAATTTCACTAGTCACTCGGGATTTTCTAGGAATTCATTGCCGCGCGCCGTCTGCCTGGCGTGGACCATGTGCCCAGCCAAGGCGAGGATTAGTGAACCCTTTTTGGCTTGAGCCCAGTCAAGGTTCGTCCAATTCAAGACACTACCTCTCAACTTTGCAGAAGGTGAAGACAATTAACTGTTGGCTCCATTGAAAATTGTTGGCCATTATTATTTAACTTTGATCCAATTCATGTCTTAACAATCATGAACTCTAAATGTTATAAGGAATTGTATAGGCTATATTTAATATTAGGAATTGTATATTGTTATATGAATTGAAATATTCTTCTTGAATATAGCTTGCACTATCAAAATCAACAAAATATGAAACCAAACTTATATTAAGTAAACTAACTAACTGAAGGATATGTGGACTCACATCCTGGTCCAGCCAGAGGTTGGGCACACTGAAGGACTGAATGACATCAGCTCCACACAGAAGTTTGACCACCACCTTGTCATCTCTGTTGCAATGTTCCAACACATGACTGAGCCACTGTTGCTCCTCACATCGCTGTCTCTTGTTGGGCGTTTCGTTACACGACAGTGCTGCGTTCAACTGGTTCTACACAGGGTAAAATGTAGTTACAAAGGTACTTTGACATTTGACCACCACCTTGTCATCTCTGTTGCAATGTTCCAACACATGACTGAGCCACTGTTGCTCCTCACATCGCTGTCTCTTGTTGGGCGTTTCGTTACACGACAGTGCTGCGTTCAACTGGTTCTACACAGGGTAAAATGTAGTTACAAAGGTACTTTGACATTTGACCACCACCTTGTCATCTCTGTTGCAATGTTCCAACACATGACTGAGCCACTGTTGCTCCTCACATCGCTGTCTCTTGTTGGGCGTTTCGTTACACGACAGTGCTGCGTTCAACTGGTTCTACACAAGGTAAAATGTAGTTACAAAGGTACTTTGACATTTGACCACCACCTTGTCATCTCTGTTGCAATGTTCCAACACATGACTGAGCCACTGTTGCTCCTCACATCGCTGTCTCTTGTTGGGCGTCTCGTTACACGACAGTGCTGCGTTCAACTGGTTCTACACAGGGTAAAAAGTAGTTACAAAGGTAATTTGACATTTGACCACCACCTTGTCATCTCTGTTGCAATGTTCCAACACATGACTGAGCCACTGTTGCTCCTCACATCGCTGTCTCTTGTTGGGCGTCTCGTTACACGACAGTGCTGTGTTCAACTGGTTCTACACAGGGTAAAATTTAGGCTAGTTACAAATGTTCTTTGACATTTCAACACCATTTTTTGTCCTCTGTTGATATAACTAGGTTCCTACACAAGTGGACTAACCTCAGAAAACTATACTTATCCATTTAAGGTAAGTTTACCGTAAAACAGAAACTAAGATATAAAATGCAAATAATAGTTTATATTGGGTAACCTTAAAATGGTTGATCACAAATTATTTAAATTTCAACTATTAGAATATTAAGACTAGAGATGACAACTTGAGGTTTCCTACCTGATGATGTTGTAGCACTAATCTTGTCCTTGTCCAATGGTCTTGCCTACTCTCCCATTCACTTAGTTTTATCCAGTTTGAGGTGTTGAGAGCCAATCGGACCATTTCACATCTGTCAGAGGAATATGCCAAGTCTTTTTTACCGTATTTGTCGTGAACAGGGGACATGAGACCACCAATAACTTTGAACTGTCCAGTTTTTTCCAAATAGTCTCTGGCAATTTCTGAAATAATAAAGTGATTATCATCCAAACTAGCATTACTTGAGCTTTTGGCAGATCTATTTAATTAACATATTATTTTATGTTTGCTGCTACCTTATTTATTTCTATAAGTTTTACGTGTGTAGCCTAATAACTAATGCAGGCAATAAGTTAACATGTTCACTGCGTTGTATATTTTCCTGCATTATTCCAATGGTGCGTTACGAGATCTATAGGTCTCGTTCGCTATGATTACCCAGGTGCAAAGACCTAGCAAAGAAAGGAGAGAGAGCGCTGAAATAAACCTCTAAATGTTGTCATTTTATTTTTGTCTTAACTAATAATAGAAATGATGAGGTACAGATGTTATTGGATACAATGTTTAATGGTAAATAAGTGGTTACAAAAATTCTCGAGGGGTGGGGATTCGTGCAGACTGAATAAAAAGATTTCTTTGAATACAAATGCAATAAGTTAAGATGTAGATTGAATAATAATTTAGAAACAATAATATAGTAAGATGATTAATTTTTCTTTTCTTTTGTTAATATTTGAAATATGGAGGCAGTTTTAGTCCCAAAATGGATCCTGGAGATGTCTATAGTTTGAGTTAATAATAAATGGAATGTTCTCACCTATCTTCTATAATAATAATTTTCTTCTGAATAATGTAGGCCTAAATTCTTCTTTCTTCAGTAAATTTGAATATTTTGACAATACTTTATTTTATAATTTCACAATTTATTTCACAACTACAGTAATAGTTTCTGTATGTTCTTCTTGGATACCTTAACTGCAAAGTCACTGTTCATTGTTGTAAATCATTTATTAAATTATGGGGTTCTCATCAATAAAAACATGGTTGAATTTTATTGATAATCTTGAACCCAGATGCAGTGTATTTTAAATGGAGGAATTGTTTTGAATAATAATTTTGAATAAGCCAATGAATAAATTTTGATTATGAATTATAAATATGTTGAGACAATATAGTGCAGTAGAAATAGTGTTTGAGGTGGAACTAATTGCAACATAAATTATTCCAGTTAGAAATGGTAGGTAATACACTTATAAAAAACATACTAAAAATATACATTTGTACTGTTACGCAAAATACGGTTTTTTGGCCGCCATTTAAAAAAAGTGTAAAATTTTGTGTTAAAAAATCTGGTTTGGTATCAAATTATAGAACAGTACCTGGGGACCGAGCTTTGCTCGGGGAAAATCATTAGTTCACTCTGAAAGCACCTTAGTATTGGAGATACATAAATCCATTCCCAAACTCCACACGGCTCGCCTTTACCACCATTTCCTACGTCATGGACCTGTTTCCCTCCATTCCCATTGCATTTAAAGATTGCAGATACCTTAATCTAATCGTCATAAACAGTTCCCACACTCCGGACTACTCGCCTAGACTACTTCCTTCACCACTTCCTACGTCGCGGACCTGTTTCCCTCTCTTTCCATAGAATTTTAGGATTGCCCATACCCTTATCTAATCGTCATAAACAGTTCCCACACTCCAAACAGCTCGCCTTGACTACTTCCTTCACCACTTACTATGTCGCGGACCTGTTTTCCTTCCTTCCCATATCATTTTAAGATTGCAGATTCCTTAATCTAATCGTCATAAACAGTTCCCACACTCCGGACTACTCGCCTTGACTACTTCATTCACCACTTCTTACGTCGCGGACCTGGTTTCCTCCCTTCCCATAGCATTTTAGGATTGCAGATACCCTAATCTTATCGTCGTAAACAGTCCCCACAGGGACTGCTCGTCTTTACTACTTCCTTCATCACTTCCTACGTCACGGACCTGTTTCCCTCTATTCCCATAGCATTTTATGATTGCCTTTATTACTTCCTTCACCACTTCCTATGTCGCGGACCTGTTTCCTTCCCTTCCCATAGCATTTTAGAATTGCAAATACCTTAATCTAATCGTCATAAACAGTTCCCACACTCCGGATAGCTCGTCTTGACTACTTCCATCACCACTTCCTACGTCGCGGACCTGTTTTCCTCCCTTTCCATAGCATTTTAGGATTGCAAATACCTTAATCTAATCGCCATAAACAGTTCCCTCACTCCGGACAGCTCGTCTTGACTACTTTAATTAATTAATGAAAGGTGTGTTGGGGACCAGAGGACGGAGATCTTTTACCCAGACCGGAAGCTTGCATAGCCAGCTTTGATTTATGCTAACACAACTAATTTACTAAAAACTATCCTTCCAAAACTTGTGACCTAGGAAATGACTATTAATGAAATGATTCGACTGGTGATTGAACTACTTAAATAGGAAATGCCTAACAATTTATTGAAAGGAACTATGGAAACTTCTGGGGAAAACATGTTGCCCTAATCATGTTGAAAATGGTCCGAGCCTGAAGGGCTCGACCAGTAAATTTCCTAATTCCTACATTTCTAATAACGGACGACCCTTGTAGGTCTCCCCCCCTTGTTGCTAACTAGCCTGACATATTAACCTAGTATATAATTTATAATTATTCTAGTAACTTAGCCATTTAATAGATTTTTCAGTGCGAGCAGCTCTTCTGTGGGAATTCTTGATAGTCGTTGGCGGTGAAGTGGGAAGAAGGTTGGGAAAGGTCGGTGGGGGAAGCCGTTCGCTTGCTCGAGGTGGGCTGACGAGTTCGCCATGCAGCCCTGCCACACGAAGCGCTGACACTATAAGAAATATAGCGTGCCGCTATGCGTCACATGATAAAACTTTGCAGATTTATTTATTTTATACCAAACAATTAATATTTTACTAAAAACACACTTAATTAGTTTCCTTGTAGCAGCAAACCTTGGTACTCGTTTCGTTAAACCTAATGTTATTTATAGACTAGCAACAGAGCCCATTGCGGTTAAATACAACGGTCTCTAATAAAATAATGGTTATGAAATCCATACACCACTTTACTCGCTAATATTTGGTACCTACGGATTAAGCTCGAATAACATTAGAATCACACACTAAGAAACACACTTTAAACACAAATGCAAATTGTTAACAACAATATTTAATGAAAGAAAAATCAACTTAATAACGATACCGTAGCCTACTGTAAAACAATAAGCTGTTAAAATATTAACTCATTTTTCGTATGATTAGATTATGCATACTGGTAAATCAATTATTGCCATCAATAAAAATAATTGGTTTTTCTTTTCCGAGTCGGGTTAGCTCTTTTACCAGACCGATTTTCATAATTTTGGCCTTAAGCCGGGTTTACACTATGTAGCTAAACCTGCTATATAGCAGATTTGTGTTATATATTAGCAATTTTATATAACATTTGCTAGAAGTAGAAAAAGTAACTTTACAAAAAGTGCTATATAACACTGCTATATGTAGCAGATCCTGCTATATATAGCTAAAGTTGTGCTATCCATCGGGAGTCGGTAAATATCAAAAGAAATACGTTCTACATCTAACATTGCCATATGTAGCAATGATATACATATATTTTTCGTCTAGCATCTGCCATATGTAGCATTTAGTGCACACAGTTCACAGTTGTAGCCTCCTGGGTGCGAACGGTTTTGCTCAGCGATCTTTGTTTACAATGAAAGGACTGGAAACTGAAAGTGACAGCGCGTAGGATCGGGATGCAATTAGGCTGCACTTTGCGTTACGTCCTACACTCATTTGAATCAAAATATCGGTTATTCGATTGTTTTATTCGATATATCGTTTGGTTAGTTAGGTTAGGTTAACCTTACCTAACTAACCAAACAATATAACTTATCGAATATTCGATATATCGACCGATATTTTCATTCCAATGAGTGTAGGACGTAAAGTAAAGTGCAGCCTGCAATTATAAACTTAATTAAACTGTTCCGTTGGACAACTGGCGTTGTGGTCATACGTAAAACGTTTTTGAATTTACCGTCGCCTTATTTAGCGTTTTAATTATGGATTGTCAGCGTATTCGTCATCATTAAGGTCCCGTAATAAATTTGCTACACTTTACTTATATCTCGAAGCAAGAAGCGGTCAAACCTAAAACTTGCTAAAATCTTCGCTTCCGTCTCTCTCTCTCTCTCTCTCTCTCTGACTCCAAGATCACCGCGATAGCTGCCACGAACAATGTCTCTTCAGCGCACATTTCGATACGGAATGCGAATGAGGTTGTGCTACATATAACATATAGCACGAGCACCAGAATCACTAAAATTGTCTGTAAATTTTTCATACAGCAAAAGTTATATAGCAATGTTATATAGCAAAAGTTATACAGTATAGCAGGTTTTGTTACTTAGTGTAAATCTGGCTTTAAACTAAAGCTATGGACGCACTATAGATTTGCCATCAAGCATCAGCACTCATTTTGACATATATTTTGAGTTATGCACAAACTGCAGAACACTTATTTTATCCAGTTTAGTTTTCATTCAAAAAGTTAATAATTTATTTACAATCACAACAAAACATTTGTCTTAATCAGATGTAAATAAAAACATTTGCTATACAGTCTCGTGGCTTAACGTAGCGATTGGTTACGGTTTGCTGCTACAATAAAACTAATAAAGTGTGTTTTTGGTAAAATATTAATAGCTTAGTATTATTTTTTTTCAGGGAGAGGAGGGAAAATGCTTTTACGCACACAGGTAGCCAACCAGCCTGTAGTGTGAGGCTCCTGAATTTATCAAACTACTCACTAAAACTCTACTCTGTTGGACACAGACCTGGAATTGTTTGTCACATTATTTCAAGTCAGGCCAACATGTGACCTAAGCCCTCAGGGCTCTCACCGTTTCTGGCATTTAAATTCTTTATGGCCTACACCGCATCCCGGTCAAGGTCGAGCTTCTTGGCGCGGAGAATATCCTGGATGTAATGTGACACACAGGTCCAATTGTCCTTACCCTCCGTCATCATTGGTATGACCCTTTCTACCGACAATTGTCCTATTAACTGTTGAGCCTCCAGGCGGGGCCTTTCCCAATGCTGGTAGTGGAAAAAGGTATGTTCCACGTCATCGGGAATGCCTGGGCAGTATATGCAATCGGGTGACACAGCTTTGCCATAAACAAGTACGACCGGAAAAAACCATGACCCGTCAGAAATTGCGTGAGTTAGGAGTCTATCTCTCCGCACCGCTGATTAACCCAAGGTTGGACATGCTGTATCAGTTGCCTGGTCCAGCGTCCCCGTGTCTCCTGTTCCCAGCTCTCCTGCCACAGCTGGTAGGTGCACGCGTTCCTCTGTTCGTGCCTGGTCCTCCCCACTGCGCTGATAAATTGCGTTTCCTTCTGCCGCCAAAAGTTTGACGGGGATGACTCCAGCAACCACCAAAACAGCGGTTTCGGACACTGTTTGGTAGACAGATGCTACCTTTAGTGCTGCCTGACACTGCACTCTGACGAGCCGCATCCTATATCTCCTTATTGAGAGCATCTGCCCACACCTCCGCACTTTTTATATAGTACATTGCAGAGTTGACTGGCAGTCCTCCAAATGTTAATATTGCGTACTGGCTTAGTGATAAATCACGATCAGCTGTATTGAAGTTTCCAAACAAAAATCTGCAGTAAATGGCTTCTAATGCTATTCTTATGGAGAACATTTTACGTAATACCCTATCTAATTTTGTGTTAAAATTTTGGGAATTTCACTATTTTTCCTGCCATCTCCGGATCGAGACTAACTTTGGGTTGCCATGGTAATGTGTAAAAAAAAGAGGAGATTTTAGCTGGCGGTCCCCACTATAATATTGAATCAAATTGAACGGGCTAGCAAAATTGTATTCCTAGTACATAGCCAAAGTATTATCAGAAACTGTATGGGTCATAAATTTAAACTTAAACAAAATTATGTCAATGGCCCGAAAATAGACATGATTTATTATTATTTATGGAACAGTCAAAAAACATCCTAACCAGTTGTTACCTAGCCTAGATTGACATTTGGGCCAGTGACATAATTTATTTATATTTATTAGTCCATACCGTTCCTGTTCAATATTCGTGCTACATTGTCAATATTTAAACGGTAAGTTATAGGCCAATGCAAACATATAAAATGTTGCATCGCTTGTCACATCTAACAATACCGAATAACCGAATACAGGTAACAAAACGCTCTATGTCTGCTAGGCTTTAGAAGTGAAAACGGATACCTTCGGACTGGCAAGCAGACGCAAATTAAAGGACTGGGAACATTGAGCAATGAAACAGACGATGAAGATAAACTAAAGTACTTTCCTGTTAAAGGGAACATTCATTATTATCGAAGATTTTTTTTCGATACCGGTACCGGTAACTTCTATCAATATTTTTGTTTTACTTCACGATCTGTATTCCTTCTGTTTTAATATCTTCAAACGCATTTACAATACAAATTGATAACTAACCTTGTTTAGGCAAAAATTATAGCCCATTTTTGCCGATGACACTACTGCTTTGATCAAAAATAATAATACAGCTGAAATGTTTTCTTCTCTGCAAAGTGTGGTAAAGGACATGGAGCAATGGTTTTTAGAAAATGGGTTAAAACTTAATGTTGAAAAAACAAATATTATTAAATTTTCTACTAGACACAAAAATATGGAAAACTGTTCCTTTAATTTAGTTGAAGCTCATAAATTCTTAGGGGTTTACGTAGATGACGCAGTTAAATGGGATTCACATTTGAATTATTTACGTAACAAAATTAGGTCAATATCATCTTTATTCATACATTTAAGGGACTGTTCATAGTCTATTGACTGTTTGTTTCTATTGAGACACTTAAAGTAGTTTATCATGCTTATGTGGAGTCAGTGTTAAGATATGGCATAATTTTATGGGGACAAGCTACTGGTATTAAAACTTTATTCAGGTTACAAAAACGTATTATTACCAACTCTCATCCACGCAGTTCTTGTAAGAAACATTTTCAAAATTTAAGAATTCATACATTAACGGGGTTGTATATTCTAGAATTATTAAATTACATACATTCAGTTAAAAATGAGCTACCAGAAACAATGCATTTTAATCACAGGTATGAAACCCGAAATGAAAATATATTTAGACTCCCCAGACACCGTTTGACCCTATATGAAAAATCTCCATTGTACGCTGGGCTGAGATTGTACAATGTGCTTCCGCCATGCTATAAGTCATTAAGCAGAACCAAATTTAAAGATACAATAGATAATTTTCTTATTGACAAGGCTTTTTACTTAATTGAAGATTTTTACAGAACTACAATTTAGAATTTTTTTTTTTAAGTGTTTAATTTTAAGTTAAAAGTTTTAATGTTAAATATTTTATGTATGGATTTAATTTTGACAATGCACCTATTCTAAATGTTATGACATGTATGGAATGTTTTGTGCAAATAAAGTCTATGTCTATGTCTATGTCTATGTCTATGTCATATACAGCGAAAGTGTCCAAAATGTCAAATGGATTATCCATTTCAAATCCACGATTATTACATATGTCAAATCCACGAACATCGTTTACGGCGAAGGCTCTATGACTGACTGAATCGGATTGAACTGGATCGAGTTAGGTATCGTTTTATTTGACAGATTCAGAGCTTTCTCCGGAGGTCTGTCTCTAAGCGCATTTCATTTTAGTTCCAAAAATATTGTAGCAGACAGCTGACGTGCGTATTTGTAAACAGCTTGGTTAACCTCGGACCGATGACTGATGTGTTTTATTACGTTTATCATTGTTTTAGTGTAAAAAATCAAAATTAGTGATATACGTGGTGCATTATAAGAAGATTTAAGTGATTTTGAAGGGCTGGTTGATCCTGAAGAAGTAGGTAGTGATATTGATTTAAATTATCAGCCAGATTCCTAGCTATGGTTAGGCTATGCATTCTTAGCTAAACGCTATGTACTGAAATCTGTTTTTTGCCCATAACTTATTTATTTGCACATCTACTTCCTTATATTATTATATATTTCTAATCCTCATAAAATTTAGAACAAAGTGGCTATTTTCAAATATTTATAGGCCTATAATTTACACAATTTCATTGAGCGCAAACTTATTTTTTGTTTCAATTTTTCCAAAATAATTTTTTTTACCTACAAAATTTTTTTGAAACAAATATTCCTTATGTTTTATGTATGATATTGAAGCCCATGATTTTCCAAACAAAATGGTATATAGAACATTAGAATTAACATTGTTTTAAGCTTCTCAGATCCGTTTTAATAAAACCTTGCAAATGCGCCAAAAATAGGTGGACATTAAGGCCTAAACTATGGACACTTGGAGGGTTAATAGAGAGTTTGAGGAAATTTCTCGCTTTTTGCAGAAATCCCCCTGAGCTAAATTTTGAACGTCAAATCTCCGGGAAAATCAGGGAATATGGAAACCCTATCTCTGATATTAGTCCCGCATTTGGCTGGCAAAGTATGGCACAGTTAACGCTAAGAGACAATAATCCCAGTGGTAGGTTGTTATCTATATACATTTTAGGCATTCATGTCCCATAAATCATGCTAGTTAGGCTATAACTCATCAAGCCAATTCAAGTTAATTGTCTGGGTAGCCGAGTGGTTATAGTGCTCGCCTTCAAATCTGAAGGTCGCTGGTTCGAATCCAAGCGAGATCGTTTCCAGACCCAGATGCCATTTGTCATTGGGCTATGAATTAATGATGCTATCTAACAAAAAGGTCAACGTTAGATAGTAACAAGACCAGGGTTTGGACCGTTCCCTTTCAAAACGTAAAAAATGCCACTGGTGTCTCAGACCTAAATACACACAAACAAAAAAATCACTTTAGTAATGGTCAAGTCCAGTCTTGATGATCCTTTCTTTATATTTTATTAAATCCATTAGTCTGCATTAATGAGATTTTACAGTACTTTTGTTTTTTTAATAACCAAATAAAACTCACCTAGCATTCTTAGGTGCATTACAGTTGGTGGGTTAAACGAGCCCACAACCAGCAAAACAACTTTGACTAGAGGCATTGTAAAGGTTGGCCTTTTAAAATATATTTCACAACATTGTATTTCCTTCAAAACCCTTTACTTCAATAAACACTTGACTTCAATTAATTCGGTTAAATTTTACATAGGCCTATATATAATGTTAGTGATTCAATTGAAATTTAAAGCTATTCAAAAATGCACATAAAAATCTAGACTAGAACACTAGAACTCTTCTTGGGTCTTGGCAGACGACGAGCGACGAGACACACAACGACAACACAACTCAAGTCAAGTCAAGTCTCAACTCAACACAACGACAACGTAGGTCTCAAGAAACGAGACCTTACCTTCAGACCGCCACCGCCCACCACCGCGCCGTGCAGAACGCATTATACCGTGCATAGCCGAACTGTTCGTGGGCGTGGGGTGGGAAATTGTTAGCTCTATCACTGTAGCTGTCAAAACGTGTCGTTTGTAGGTTAAATTTAAATTAATTTAACTGTCATAACCTAACCAAATTTGCTGATAATGAATATTTCGAGGTTTACTAATAACAAAAATAGTTCTTTTCGTAAAATAAAATTATAAATGTCTCAAAATCAATTATATAATTTTTTTTACTATAAAATTAAACTATCATAAGCTAACCAAACCAACCAAACTTGCTGATAATGAAACAAATTCGAGTCAAAAAAAGTTAATGCCTCCAGTGGGTTTTGAATCGGTTACCTCCTAATCATCAGCCCGGTGCGCGATCCACTACACCACCGAGACCTGCGGCTGTTTAACGTATCGTTGCGGTAATGGTGTTCGCTCGAGCAGTGGTGGGTGGTGGTGGGCGGTGGTGGTCTGTCGGCGAGGGTTAATCACAAGACCAGAACAGAAACAGAAAACAAACAGAATGAGAACATCCGCTAATAGCGAGCCTTTCATTGCAGGAAAATGCCATCCTACTGCGCGTGCGCTTGTAGCTGTCGTGTAGCAGCTGCAGCACGCTGCAGCCACCAGCAGCTAGGTGAAGGTGAGCGGTGAGCACTTTTTCGTCTTGCGATTTCGCGACTATTGTTAGTCGTTCATTATTATCTATCGAACCACGACATTATACTATCGTACTATCGATGTAATTGTAGTTGTCGTTTGTCACCAGCGACCACAGAATTAAAATACCCCCGCCGCGGCAAACCTGCCGACTAAGCGAATTTCCATTTGTCTGAATTGATTTTCAGTTAAACATATTTTAATAACATTAGGTTTAACGAGTACCTAGGTTTGCTGCTACAAGGAAACTAACAAAGTGTGTTTTTGAGTAAAATAATGATAGCTTAGTACAAAATAAATAAATTTGCCAAGTTTTATCAAAATATATCCATAAACAAGCAAACTACAACATTTGACAATATTCTCCATAAGAATAACATGGGAATTTTTAATTTACAATTTTTTTTAATTTTCTCCGTTACTAATAATTGAACAAAAATACTTTTATATACTAAATTATTTGTCTTTTTAAGCTCTTTAAAAAGCTCTAAAGAGAAATTGGGAAATTTTGTGTTTTGAGGGTCATAAGTGAGAAAAACCAATTTTTACCCCATAAAACCCCCCGTAAAGCCCCGTTCCCATGGTCCGATCGTGCTGGTTTGCGAACTCATTCAAGTTTATCCCGCTTTACACCTTTAAACCAAATTTCATCAAAATCGGACAAAAATTACTCAAGTTATCGCGTTTACGGAGGTATATATATATATATATAAGTCTATATATATATATATATATATATATATATATACATATATAAAAATTTGAACGAATGGTGTTTTTGGCCTCTGGGGACATCAAAATGAAAAAGTAAATCGGTCCCGGGTCTAGGTCTTACCGTGCCACCTACGGTAATAGCTACTTCCCTATAGGGAAATTCGCTAATAGACTGGTTATGCTATAAGCACTGAGCTATAAGTTATAATCTAGTTATCTCAATGGCTATAAGCACGGCCACCTTTAACTACAGACCGCGGCCAGCGAGAATTGGCAACGTCGCACCGAGCATTAACTCCCGGCCTTTTCACCATTACGGCAGTACGGAACTAGTGGTCGCGGTTTAAATACGCTGCATTTTTACACCCTTACAATTGAGATAAAATTTTGAAAATTTGGTACAGAGCAAGGGAATGAACTCTTCATGGCAATAGTATGGTTTTGAAAATTATAATTTTATTTGGTAGTATATATAAATATTTTTAAAATTAACACATTAGAAAATGTTTGGAAAAGTAAAGTGAAAAAGTAAGTCGCCTACTAAAGTTTTTGTTTGTTGGTCAGAGAAGTTTCGTCAGTGAGAAAGTTGTAGATAATTAAATACTAGTGTACCTGTTGCTCGAATTCGCCAACCCGCCACCTCGCACGGGGAACGCGCCAAGGCGCCACCACGTCAACCCGCCATCCAGTCAACCCGCCATCAAAAAGAAGAAGAAGTTTGAGGTGGCGGGTTGACGTGGTGGCTCGTTGTCGGGGTGGCACGTTGACTCTAGCGTGCACGACAACCCGCCACCTCGGAAAAATGTGTGGTGGCGGGTTGTCGTGGTGGCACGTTGTCCTGGTGGTGCTTAGACATGTTCATACACGTCAACCAGCCACCTCTTTAGTGTGGTGGCGGGTTGACGTGGTGGCTGGTTGACGTCTACGTGCGAGGTGGCGGGTTGACGACACCGAACATTGAGCGTACACGACAAACCGCCACCTCATAAAATAGTGATGGCTGGTTGACGTGGTGGCACGTTGTCGCTTACATGCGAGGTGGCGGTTTGACGAGAGTTAACACGGGGCGTACACGTCAACCCGCCATCTTTGTTGGCAAAAGCCGCTGTTGTCTGTGTATTATAAAATGCATCACTTTTTGCAGTTTACCTGGACTTGTGTTATCTAGTTTACTGTTAAGTTAACTAGACATTAGTTATTGTGAATTCATTAATTTTCGACTCGTTTTCCTAAAAAGATCTGCCATAGAAATAAAGTACACGCGCATCCACGCAAGACAATTTTTCCTTTTAATCAATGGTTATTGTTTAAAAAAAACTTTTGTAAGATAAACTCACTACAAATTAACGACTTAGGGTCATTCTAGAATTAAAATAACAATATTTGTTATGTTTTCGCATATTTTTATTGAAGACAAAAACATGAAACTTTAATAATTTTGTAAAATAAGTGATTAGTTTCGGATTTAGGATTTTTTGTAGGTGTATACCTGGTATAATACCCATACTTATTTTCTTTTTCAGCATTATGACAATGAATTACAAAATAAGTTACCTAACAACTTCATCAATTAATTGTAATTCACGTGTGTATGGCCTAAACAAAAATTATGAAAATGTATTGTTCGGTTATAATTTCTCTTGAAACCGTATTGTGGTGAAAATAATAATACATTCAACCAAAAACATAAAACAAAATATACATCGTTGATACAGAGTACAACAGACTAAAATGTACTTTGTGTGGACTAGCGCGCACCTGTTTTTCTATTTAGAAGAATTTGAGAAAGGATACAGAACTATAGACTCGACCCAACCGGGTAACGTACTTTGACCTCTTGAGTCAAGGGTATTGCCCAGAGAAGTTCATACCAGATAGATATATTCCAAAAAATCTCATTAGGAGATAGCTTAAACCAAGATTTCTATTGAATTTATCATGCTCTGCTTGAAATTCCATTTCATGCTTCAGGAAATACCGTACCGTTACTTTGGTATTATTCGGAGGCCACTTGTTTTCTAGAGGGATTTTTTTACCTAAGACAAAAAAAACATGATTAGAAAGAACATACTTTAATTAACTTACTGTCCAAATATGAAATGATTGCAATTGCAATTAGCGGTTTTTGAGTTCTGCCTCCCAGAAGGCAAGATTGAGTTGAATGCGTCACCGCCCCTAGCTGCCACACGAACTCCACCGAGTAGATACTGAGTAAATAAATACTGCGCGCTGTAGCGGTTATGTTAGGTTGGGTTTCCTCGTTTCATTATGAATCTAACAATACAACATGAGTGCCGATACCTGAGATACAGGCGGTGACAGGTGATGCGCGCGCTCCGGCCATTGGTCAACGACCTGACCTTGGCCTACTTGGAGGGGATTTGGCGATGTTATGACTCATCTGGTATCATTCCATCCATAACGAAACTAAGAAAGTTCTACAAACATAGGATAACCCAACCTAACATAACCGCTGCAGCACGCTGTATAAGGGTGGCCTCCGGATAATATCAAAGTAGCATTAATACCGTACTTTTACTCTTGGCACAATGGGTTCGGGGCATTCCACTAATGTACTGTTGAAAATTGTATGAAATAATTGATTCATATTTAAAAGTATCTTTACTAACTAAACTAAATCTGTGTACAGCTTGTAAACAAATCAAATATAAACAATAACAATAATCACATAATAATGACATCTATCTATCCATCTATCATCTACTAAATCTATCTATACTATTATAAAGAAGAGGTGGTGTTTGTGTGTTTGTATGAGATAAACTATAAGCTACTGAACCGATTGGACTCAAATTAGACAAAAATCAAGCTACCGCTCCGAGGATTAGAACTACCCCCCCCTTCCCCCCCACCATCGATATTGAACTAGTATCTGTGCTGTTTGGTATTTTTATAATTGCTATCATATGTTGCATATTTGATGTTTGTTTTTATTGTATTGTTGTTTTGAGCTTGAAGACTTACTTTTGGGATCTTGGCTAATAAAGTATCTATGTTTAACTGTGGTGTGAGTTTTACCTTTCACTTCATGGTGTCAGGTTAAATAAACTTTTGTGGAGAAGAAAGAACTAAGCATGGCTGAAGCAGTGAGTAGTACAATTAGTACAGTTCAATACCAACTTGTCACACCTGAACCTTTCAATTTCAGGGAAAGAAGGTTCCCTGAAATTGAAAGGTTCAGGTGGCCTTCTGAATGGCCTAGATGGATAAGAAAATTTGAAAGGTTTAGATTAGCTTCAGGATTAGACAGTAAGAGTGGGGAAAATCAGGTTAATATGCTTTTATACTGTCTAGGAGATGAAGGAGAAGACCTTCTAACATCTTTCGGATTAAAAGATGAAGAATTACAGAGTTATGACACTGTCAAGGGTAGATTTGAGTCTTACTTAGGTTTCAAAATCAACATTGTATATGAGAGAGCTAAATTTCTAAAAAGACGTCAGTCTGAGGGGGAACCTGTTGATTCTTTTATAAATAGTTTACACAAAC